GTGCCAATGGGTTCGTTTCATTAAGCTCTGTCAGTGAAACAATTCCAGCATCTGCTATTCCCATCAAAATCTTCCTTCCAAACGATGTTCCATCCTACATTATTTGCAGACACACACACACACACACCACTTAAGCACCAAACAAATGCTAAAAATATCACTAAAGCCACAGACCAGATCTATAGCTGATTTAAACCAACAGCTCTCCTGTCACAGCTGCTGCTTCATATTAGCTGAAGGCCAAGCTCCTGTTTAGTCCCAGATAATATGGAAAGAAACATGCACAAAGAGAAACCTCTGGATTGCCTGAAAACGCTATACTGGAGGCCAGGGTGACATATGCTCCATGTCCCTTATCTGCTCTCAGTTGCACAGGCTTTGCCTGTGCAGTGACCTAACCATATGTACCCCAGAGGGCTGCCACACTCCATAGGTGACACCTTTTCAGCAACAAACAGGCTGCTGCCCCGGGCGGAAATGCAGGCAAGCCCTCCAGCCAGCATATCCATTCTGAAAGGGCATTTTGCACAGCACAAATGTGTTTGTTCCTGCCTGCCTTATGATTTGTGTTTAACATTCCCCACCAATTAAGCAAATAGAAGGACTGCTGATGGAATTCAGCCCCCGAGCGGCTCTCCAGGTGCTTTAGCCAGCTGAGCTGCTAAGTCCTACAGCTTGGCCTGCCTGACTGTAAGCTGATGTGGGGGCTTTGAGAATTAGAGAGTGGTTTGGGTTTTTGTTTATGCATTCTTTCTTCCTGCTGTCTCTCTTCAGAGCTCATTTAAAATCTTTTGGGAGACAGGCTGTGTGAAAGGTATGATTTGAGTTTTAATGCCAAGATTCGTTAGTACTTAGCTGAAAATACAGGACACCATTAGGGGTCAGAAAAAAAGTTGACCCACATCCCCTGTAATTACCAGCACGATGGTGAACCAACACTCAGCTCAGCAGTGGGAGGTGCCACCTTTGGCACAGATGTTTGTTAAAGCAAACAACAAACCATCTCTGCTGTAGAAAGACAGGGCACAGCAACTACATTGCAATGTCAAAACACAAAGACCAAGCACATCTACTACTGACCCTACATAAACCGGCATGGGCAGAGAGATGAGGATACGAGTATTACTATTACAGTTACAGAAGGGGATGTTTCTACCTGGAGACTGCTGAGCTCTCTCCATGCTCTTGAATAAATGGAATTAACTTTCAGTTTATTGTTGCTCAGATAGAGTTCCCGCAGCTTTGTCATCCCAGACAAAGTCCCTTTGGGGATGGTGCTTATCTCGTTCTCCTTCAGCTTCAGGACCTGCAGGTTCTTGGGAAAGCCGAAGGGCACTGTGTTGAGATTGTTCCCAGAAAGATCCAAGGATTTTAGTTGCCTCAGTTTACGGAAGGCTTCCCGATGGATCTGGGGACTTTTGAGCTTGTTGTAGCTCAGGTTCAGCTCTTCAAGGAAGTAAGTGGTAGCAAAGTCTTTCCTGCTAATCTCGGAGATCTGGTTATGGAGGATCATAAGTGTTTTCACTCGCCGGGGCAGCCCACTGGGAATTCTTTCCAGCATGTTGTTGTACAGGTGCACAGTGTGCAGCTTCTTTAAGCCCTGGAAGGCTAAGGGGTGAATCCCTCTGGCTTTTAACTTGTTATTGTGGAGCAGAAGGTACTCAAGGTTCTTAATTTGGGTCAAGACGTCTCTGCCAATCATCTTAATTGCATTCTTCTCCAGGTGGAGGAGGACGATGTTTCGAGGTAAACCACTTGGGATTTGCGAGAGGTTATTGCTGGACAAATCCAGATATTCAAGACTAGATAGTTTCCTTGGGAAATCAGGAAAAAAATATTATTCATTTAGATTTTGTAAAGTGAAACCATAACCAACTGCCTCATGCAATCCTTACAATATTTTGGGATGTGAAGGGGCCTTCCTAGCTGCTCCCCCCAATACAGCTTCTCTGTTACTACCTTTTTTTGTCTCAAGCATGATATGAGTGATGGGGACAGTAAAGCAGGCAGCTCCCACACTGCCTTTAGGGCCACTGCTCCTAAGCCACACCTGCAAGAGAACCTGCTAGAGCCCATGAACACCCAAACTGCCACCCACGGAGACCTAACATCAGTTCTGCAGCCCAATGCTTGTCTGACACTAAAGTACTGAAGTATTTAGGCAATGGGAACACTATTAAAACACACAATTTCGGTCTCAGTTTCACAGAATCATAGCCTGAGCAGGAGTAATTTTTCCTGAGAGTCTCTCTGAAAGGGTATATTTAAACTGGAAAGCAGGTCTGCTTTTAAAAGAATGAATTCTTCTGAAAAGCAGAAATGCTAATTCTGTGTCCTAGCCTAAGATCATGAACTTCTCCTGACCCTCCAGTATTATGGAAGTGAGTCAGGGCTAGATCTGCTTTGTGTAAGCTATTGGAGCTGGATTCCATGGACTCAACTGAAGCTAAAATAAAATCCTCAGACCAGCCACTTATACCAACTAGAAGTGGATCAGTGGTATTATATATGCCAGGACCAAAGACTCTGTATTCCCCTGTATTTCAAAGCAGTTTCTCAGTTTAAATGGGATGGTAATCTGCATGGCATTACATAACCCACTGCAGATGACTTGAAAGTTTTCAGGAAATACAAGAACTAATGCATTACAGACATTACTTATTGGTTACCACAGTGCTATTCAGAAATGTCCAAGCAGGCTCTAAATGAGTGAATACAGCCTCTGGCAAAGCACTTCCTTGCTGCAAAGAGAAACACTTGCCAAGCCTGGGTACCTCTCAGTCATACTGTGCTGTACTGCACAGGCCACACTAAGAACAAGGAGGAATATCCACCACCTGTATGGAGCATGACTGGTGCCTTAACTATTGCCAGTGAGATCAGTTCATCCAAATCTTAAAAATATGTTATCCCCAACATTACCTGGAGAATGACCTAACAGACCTAAGGCAGATCACTAAGTGAGGTCATTGGATGCAAGATGTGGCAGAGGAAGGTACAGTCTGATATATTTTCATCTCTGGTGATCAGGATTCATAGAGGTTCATTCAGGTACAGAATTCATAGCAAATTATGGGCAGGATGCATAACACAGGCTGGATTTCCAAGTACAACAAGGTTAATTCTCAGTACAAAGGTGTTTTTTTGAAGTGTTAAATCCCAGGCCAAATTTAGGACAACAAAAGTTATTTTGATTGTACCAGTCGGTAGCAGACCTTTCGCCTCCATTCAGCAACTGGGCAGCACCATTACACCCCATCCTACTCGAGCATACTTTTGTTTTTGGTGGACTTACTCTATCAGGGGACTTAAACACAAACACGGGCACGAGCTACTGATCTGAATCTCACCAGAAAGTCTCATTGTCCATTCCTTCATTAGTCAAGTAGTTATTCTGTAGATAGAGCTCCCGCAGACCTGCAAGAGCACTGAAGGCTCCTTTGGGAATCTTCTCTAGCTTGTTGTTCTAGAGTTAAAAAGCACAAAGCACATTTTTTGGCATGAGAGAACACAGGACACTCGGGATTGCCTCAGCTAACATCAGGCAATTAAATTTAAGAGGTGCTAGAAATATTTCAGGAAATATTATAGCTCTGCATAAGAAATAAACAAAAACATAACTACAAACAGCAGACTGACATTAGACCCTCTTTTTATTCATTTCACATGCAATCTTTGGGCTAAGGAGTCAGAATACGGCTCATTAGGAGGGTTCCATTTAGCATTCATGTTCCTTCCACCTCTGCACATATATACTGTGATCTAGCCAACTAACCTCAGAATTTGTTCAACATCTATAGATTTCATAAGCCGTATTTCAACATAAGGAGGAATTAAACTGGAAGCTGGCAATCCGCCAACCTTCCACTATTACTGATATTCCAAAATCTATAGTTCCTGCAATGTAGATTCCAAAATAGCTGCACTTTTTCTCTTAGCATGGCTTTGGAGTAGCCAGCAGGCAGACATGAGCAGAATAGAAAACTGAATTCCATTATAAATAGGCACTGTCTGAGTTATAAACAGATATATAAAGCACTAACACCAAAATTCCCATAGAATTTTGTAAAAATTCCCACAGTTCAAATATGTGCAATAACATGGGGAACACACTGGAATAGATTCACATCCAACCTAACATAAACCACAACAGATAGATTTAGGTTAGTTTCTGAATGAACAACAGAATCAAAGACCCGTCACATCCAGAGTTAACTAATTTCATCACTTTTGGCCCACTATTTGCTATCTCTTGTGCCTTTGCTGTCCTGTTGGTTTTTTGCATGTTATTTCAAATAGGCAGGGTGCACCTGAAAATCAAATGCTCAGTTCTCTTCCCAACTTCTTCTCTGTCCTTAACACAAATTGGGTTTACAGGGAAGATAAGAAAAGTTCAAATCACAATCCTCAAAGTCTGAATCTTATTTTGGGAGACAACTGCCAGTAAATAGCAATAACATTCAGGGGTTTAGTAGCTCCATACTTTGCAGAGAAGTTCCAGCAATTTACAGGATTGGACCCTTTGCCTTTCCTTCTCTTTAAGCTGCAGAAACCCGTTTTCTGAAAGACTTTCATGGGAATTAGCAGCAAAGCCTTCAAGGGAAAAGAAGGCCGAGAGGCAAAACAGAGCTGCCTAAATGCAAAGATAACAGATTTTGGTCTACCCACATCCAAGGAGCTGTCAACACTAGGAACAAGAGGAACCAGGATGGATTCCCCACCGCTGCAGCACTCCCATTGTTAAAAGGCTGGGAACTCTAGTACAGACCCAACGCAAGTGCTTTTATCGAAATCAGATGACATGGAATAAAAAATGCTGGAGACTAGATAATACCACAACTTCTGCTATTTCACTGCTGCTGGAGAAGTTGTAGCAGTGAAGAATCACTGATCCAAACTTTCTCTGTGTTGACAGAATTGCCAGTTCAGTAGCAAACAAAAACTACTGATGCTAGGAAACAGTAGACTATGTGAAATAAATGAACCAGTAAGCAAAGCCAACGCATAAACTGTCAGGAAAAAAAACCATCATCAGTGGCAGACTTTGCAAGGAGTCCAGTCACTGAATGGCTGTGCAAAACAATCTACCTTCTCATCCCTCCACACCAGAGAGGCAGGGAAAATCTTGCCCTGCCTTTGTGCACGATGGGCTGCTCCGTGGCTGCACCCCAGAGACCCATGCAAGTGTCTGCAGGGCACTCCCTTGGGAGCAGGGAAAAGCACTCTTTTACCCTGTGAACATGCTGTTGTTTTACAAAAAAAAAAAAAAAAAAAGCTTCTACTTAGGAACAAAATAGCAAGGTCATAAGAGCTCAGCTATACTTAAGAATACAGCAGCTGAGACTTACAGTGAGCCCAGGAATGTTTCCAAGTGAACTCAGAGGCCAGGCTGTGTACTTTGAATCCCACACAAACCCAGGGCTTTAAGAGAATAGGAAACCTTGGTGTCATTACCTTTAAGTGTAACTTATAGAGTGCTGGAGGGAGATTCTTTGGAACGTATTTCAGGAAATTGCTGGACATGATGAGTATTTCCACGTTATCAGAGCCATTGAACATATTATCAGGTAACCCAGCATCTGAAAGTTTGTTGTTATGAAGATACACAGATCTACCAGAAGGAGAAAAAAGATGAAGTTAAACAGTTTTTGTTTACCAAGCGAAAGGTATTTAAAAAACTGTACAGTTTAAAAACTGTATTTGAATATTTTCTTCTTTCCTTGGGATAATTACATTCTTTAGTGTGTCATTTAATTTAGTAAGGAATGTATCCCAAACCAAATCTCTGGCCCAAACACTCCGAAATATTGGTCCATCTAAAATCCAAACCAAATAGCCTCACCTTTATAAAAAACTGAACCCAGTGGGAGTGTGCAATGCTTTGAAAGCAGAATCCAGATTTCACAGTTTGGATCCAGCTTTGTGTTGAGCCAAGAGGCACAAAGGATACTAGACTGATGGAATCAAATCTGGGTGTCTTGAGCTTGCAAAAATGAACCTATAGAGCTCTTAAGCTCTTCTCCATTCCTCTTGTACCCATGAAGACAGAAGCAGGTTCACTCAAACTGCAACAGCTCTGTTTTTTTCTTTAAACGAAGATTTGCAATCTAGAGGGTTGCTTATTTTCCTCTTGGCTTGCTTTCTTTTCATCTTTAATTACATACAAGTCAGCTGACCTCTGTGAAAGTTTTCCTGCTTTCCATTGGTTTAACAGGTAAATAAATTCATTTGTTTTCTTGCTAGCAAGAGAAATTATAGGATTTTATTGATTTTTATTGATTTTTTTCCATTACCACTTCATTTCTTGCGCATGCCCCAAGATGCAGCAGGCAGCTAAAACGCTGGGGACAGGTTAACATCACAAAGAGCACAGTGTCAAAGGGGACCTTTTTAACTTGCTCTTGGATTCTCTGCCAGTTGCAGAGAATACTTGGCAATAGTTTTTTGGACGGAAGGAAGGAAGGAAAGGGTCAGAATGGAAACAACAGTGTGATCACACACTCCAGGAGGTAGAGAGCCACACTGAAGATATTATTCACTCTTTGTGGTTAGCTGTACTTTTAAATCACAAATATTTATCTTTCTGAAAGCCTCACTTTCCAGCTAATCAGTCTGAGACCATGAACTCTGTTGAGGGCAAAAAAAAAAAAAAAAAAAAAAAAACACACACCCACAACTGAAACAACTAAGTTTGGAGTTTTCAGAAATCAATGAGTTACTGTTCTGATGAGTGTTGCTATAGGAGAGCTTGAGAAAATCTCACCAGAAACTGTAATGTGGAACATGGCAGCTTCTGCAATTGGGGTTATGGAAGAATAGGTGCATAAATCTAACCAGTCTCATAATGGGATACTGACTCAGCCCTCTCAGCTAGCAAGATCCTATGAGACGAAAGGTCTAATAAATACAGAGAAGCTTCAACTCTCAAGTACTTCAGTGGGATCCAAGAGTTCTTCAGTTCATGACTGAGCTTTAAGAGCTCACCCAAGCCAGCTACTGTCAAGTGCAAATTGCTCCCAAGAGTCTGAGACGTTTTTGCAGGATTCGGATGATACAGTGCCCATATAAATACTCCAAAGGTCTTTGGAAAAAAGCTGCATGACACAGCAGGAGTGTCTGTGTGCAGCTGACTTTGAGGTGGACACTGGATCCAGCTGAGGAAACTCACAACTTAAAACTAGCTGAGAGATCTTTGAAACCAGTTCTGAGAGGATGAAGCACATGTGAAAAGAGGTAACTATAGCAGACCTTAATATAGTTGAGTAACACCCAACTGTAGTGAGCATTGTATTAGCAGCTTGATTTTAACTTTTTAAATAAATGGATTATAATAAAATTGGGAATTTCTACACAGTTAATAACCATTTTGAGAAATCAAAGCAGTTCCTGCAGTTCTTAACTGCAAGCTCTTAACTGACACATAACTAAAATGGAGACAAATTCAATTTTTATCTATGTTAAAATGTCTGGCAGCCAGTAAAAGCTCTTGGAGTGTGTCCTTGGAGAGCTGATTTGATGCTTCAAGCTGAGATAATAAATTGCCAGATTCTTTCCAAAAACTACCAGCAGCCCATGAGATGGTTTAGCAGATAGCTT